TTACTTATAATGCGTGCCCCCCAACACTGTATATATATATATATATATATATATATATACACACACACTTCATAAAGATAAACAAAATTGTGCCAAAATTTTATATAATATGACTATTACTCTCATATATGAAAGATAAACTGTCCTATCCAGATAAAATAAGTAATATTATATTAAATTTTAGCACAATTTCGTTGATCTTTATGAAGTAGAGAGAAAGAGAGAAGTGAGTAGAGAGTAGAATTTTAAAATTGGGCATTTTTAAAAATAAAATTACAAATAAAATAAAATATTAGTTTCTAAAACATAAAGCCAACTAAATCCAGATAAAATAAGTAATATTATCAGTTTTGTTGATATTTATGAAGTACCAACTGCTATGATGGCAGGCCTTGGTTGCATGACAATTACATTTGGGCAGTTCCAGTTTTGTTCTGCTGTGTTGCATTGCTTAAAAGCAAATCTAATGCTATAATGACTGTCTTGTTCTTGCATGTTTTCAATTCGCTGTTTCATCACAAGTAAGACTCAAACAGAAGCCCACCTGTACTCCCAGGGCTGTTGTCACGTAAATACATTGTGGCTTTTCTTGAATGAAACTGGACTAGTGCATTGTGGTGAATGATCTATGCTCCCTCTTTGTGTCATAGACATACTGAAACTGATCAAATTACAGGCTCATCTCACACTACTGAAGTTAATGGATGTCCGTAGTTCTTAAGTGTTTGCTTCAGGACCCAGATTTTATAGCAGACTTCAAGTGGACACCCCCCAAAAAAACAGTCCCAAAATTATTTATCATACTTAAAGTAACAAAAATGTCCTTAAAATGAAGCTCGCTTCGTCTGTCTATCTATCTATCTACAGGTGCATCTCAATAAATTAATAGTGAGTTGGTGGGTTTTTGTTAAATGTGAGCCAAAATCATCACAATTAAAAGAACCAAAGTCTTAAACTACTTCAGTCTGTGTGCACTGAATTTATTTAATACACGAGTTTCACAATTTGAGTTGAATTACTGAAATAAATGAACTTTTCCACGACATTCTAATTTATTGAGATGCACCTGTATCTATCTATATATCTATCTATCTATCTATCTGTATGATTAATGATGCAAAAACTTTTTATATCCTGCTAAATGATAAATCCAAATACAGATATCCAGATAAATTCTGATTAACAGTGCAGATAAAGTGTTGATAAATGCAGTCAAGATGCCCTCAGTCACTTCTGAGAGCCTGCAAATCATAGGTGTTTATCTGATTGCTTGTACTTGAAATTTTGATTGCAGAATACTCAATGAGAATTTTTTTTTGACACCTTGCTTTAATTAAACCGGTAGTAAACCTTATGGCAAGGGCTGCATTTTTTGTGACATATTTCTCACATTGATTTTGTATCACATTCCTCCTCCTCCACTCATTCATTCATGCTTTCTCTCTCCTCACACACCCGTTTGTCCTATAGGTCCAGCTATGCTGATCCGATTGGAGACATCAGCGTTCCTGCTCCTCTGTAAGTCTGCTCAAGTCTTTGACATCGCTGCAAGCTGACAGTGAAATTACCCTATGAGCCCAATCATGGGAAACATGTGATCACTTGCCACCCTTGGATTGAATTTTTTCCCCACTTGTTGACACTTGAATCCTCTAACATGCACAAGTTGTCTTTCATTGTATATTTTTCAACATATTTCTCTTTCATTTTCATAACAAAGCCAGTTTCAACAAATCACTGTCATTTAGCAATTGTTCTGGCTCATACTTGTTTTGGTTTTACATTTTTTGTTATTCAAGTATCCTGTTTTTATTCCTGAAAATTAGTTAAGTACATCAGGCGATAGTTACTTTTAAGCTGCAAATTGCAGCCTGCAGAGATTATTTTCTCATATCATTGTTTTTTGTAAGTATAGAGTGCAGGAATGACCAAAACCAGAAACAAGTACATTTTTTGAATGGGTTTTTGGATAAATGCTTGAAATAATTGATTTCCTTGTGATTTTATTTTCAAGCTTTTACTTGTCTTTAAAAAAGTGGTTGCTAACAAGTAGCTACATGGGAGGTTGTCTGGGACATTTAACTAATAGGAAAAGCATCTTGTGTCTTGTGTCTATAATCACGCTCTTGCAAACTATTCTAACTCAAACTTATATAGAATTTTTTTCTAAAATTGAAAGAGTTGTTTCATTGCTTAATAAGGTTTATATTTAGATGTTTATTTTGTCACGCCAGAGGAGTTCATTCCATATAAGCTGTGAATGATCTGCATATTCAGGCCATTTGAGAGAAGAAGTTTGGGGACTGGCCAGATATTAAAATGACCATAAATTCCCTTGTTATTTGAGGTGTATCATAAGGCAAATATTGGGAATACATATGTAACTGGCCATGAATTATTTATTTGCCAAATGACGGTTATTTTCTGCAAATCTGTGCCCGTTACGAAAGGATTCAGGCAAATGGATCCACGGTTCAGCTTTGCCACCTGAACTCTATTGCTAAGAATCGTTATTTTTGCACATTGATTTGTTGGCATGTGAGATTTAATGCACAAAAAATCTGTCCACGAGTTGTTCGTCTAAGTGAAAAAATGTGCTGTTGCTGCAAGATCTCAATTACTGAAAATTGTTTCGAAAAAACAACTATATATTGTCATGTTTTCTCAAGCAAAACCAATTTTGAAAGTCCACTGAAAACATATGGTCATACATTTTTTGGCGTATACGAAGTATGTTGAAGGTACAAGACAGGAAGTTTGGGTGTGGCATATTGCAAAGCTCCTCCCTTTATTAAACAGCCAATAGGCTTTAGTTTCTTGATTTCCTGCTTGCTGTTGCTAGCCAATAGCAGGTTGATTGAGGGGAGGGGCATTCTCTGTCTAGAAAGCATTTGATTGGAGAACAGTTTTTAGTACAGGTTGAGTCATCAATATGCAGCTAACTTTATTACTTGAAGTTTAGCTAATGTAAAACCTGGTATAACTGAACTTTTGTGATTTGTAGTGATAGCTGCTCCAGTCCGCCTCCAGGACGAATGTGTGGGGAATTCATGTTATCCTAACCTCGGTGACCTCATGGTGGGCCGCGCCGGCCAGCTCAAGGCTTCTTCAACCTGTGGACTCTACAGACCACAAAACTATTGCATCCTGGGATACCTAGAGGTCAGTTGTCAAAAGCGCAACACTTCAAGAGGTCTGAATGTCAGTGATGTGGTTTAAAATATGTATGTCTTCAGAGTATTAAACCAGAAATGAAAGTAGATTCGAAGAGTTGCTCCCAGAACATTGCTTGTTGGGTTTGCAGGGAAAGGCTTCTCTGGATTTTAGTACTACACTTCACTTTGAAACTCGGAAAAATATTTGAAAAAATATCACAAATTCCCAAGTCCTTGAACCCTCAAGCAAATACATTTCCCTCAGGACTCCGAGTACAGTTTTCTCAGACATATTTACATAACATCTTCCCAATCCAAACTACCCAGAATGCAGTTCAAGCCCAAAGTGGTCTCTTTTCAGCACCCACACTGAGATTAAAAAGAGACGGAATGCTTTTCCCCCCCTTTTTCAGTGTGGATTGACAGCACTCTGGCTGACCCTTTGGGTGATACATACTAAAGACAAGTTGTGATATGCCTCCCTGAGCTGTCGTATATGTCATTACCTCTTCCCTGCCACAAGACTAATTTATGCCTGTTTCCATATTCCCCTTTCCTCCCGCCTCATACCCCCGGCCCTGTCTATACAGGTGATAAAGCTGGTATGTGGGTGTGTCGTTCAGCAATCATTTTGTATATTTACACTACTTTTCTTTGCCTGAAGAGCCCACCGCAATGGTGCTTCCAATAACAAGTGGTATAAATAAAAGGAAGCTGTAAAAGCACTGAATACATTTCGGGTTGGTTTCTCAGGTGTTAAAATGAGATTATTGATGGGATGGACAGCTCTTGTTCATACATGCCTGCAACAAAGACGTACCCCGCATATCCCCCCTCATTGTCCTTACTATATTCAGGAAATTCTTGTGAATTTTTGCCAGGAGACACTAATTACATAGAATAATACATTACTGCAGGAGCTGTATGAAGTTTTTAAAAGAATAATTCACTCAGGAAATTCTGTCTTTATTTGTTCATTTTCTCATGTTGTTCCAAACCCATAGAAGTTTCTTTCTTCCATGGAACACAAAAGGTGATTTTTTTTGGAAGAACATCTTTTCTTGGTGGGTCTTTTCAATATAATAAAAGTTAATGAAGCCTGCGGCTGTCAAGCTCCAAAGTAAACCCAATAAGTAGTCTATAAGACTCTGTGCACTATATTCCAAGTATTCTGAAAGCATTCACTGGTTTTGTGTGAAGAACAGACTGAAATATAAGTCCTTATTCAATTAAAATCTTGCCATCCACCCTTACTCTCCTTGGCGAATTCATGAGAGAAGTAGTCGAGTTCAATCTTTGAACACATCATTGTTTTCTGAATCATCAGTTTTTGATCCTGATCCAAAACTGGTCGGGGGTTAATTTCCCTACAGCATTGTTAAGCAACTATGGTCGCAAGTTCCATCATTACCAATTCTGTATTTCACAAAACCATAGTTCCAACAAAAATTTTGAACTATTTTAGTTTGTCAAGAAAATGAAAGCACCTGGTACCCGGGGAACCTGTGATTAAATAAAAAATCTGGAAATAAAGCAAAACATCAGAGAACAAAACCAAAATCAAAGTAGTCCTCAGATGCCATGCTTGTTATTTATAGCTATAATCGGACATTAATTTGATCTCAAAATGCTTATTAGCTAAAGTTATGACTCCACCACCTACTTGACGTCATTAACAACCTGTTACTGTATATTGTTGAACCAACATGGTTTGAAAGATAGATCTGCAAGAAAGTTACTACGGATTCTGGAAACAGTCAAGATCAGCTAGTTAATTTCTCCAACGATGCACTGCAGTGTGGTAGGTAGGCGATTCCGGAGAGGCTAGCAATAGTAAGCTAGCTTTGAAAGCATAAGATCCCACCCTTCCTGCAAATCACTCTCCAAAGCCACGCCTCCACCAAAATATATGAACGAGCACAGCACAGGCAGACCAGAGCTTAACCAGCAACATGATGAGAAGAACATCCCCTGAATGATTCATTCACGAATCTGACTTGATTTGGATGACCAGCCATAATTGTTAATGGAGCAGAAAAACAAGTTTCATTCTGTTCATCACACTAAAATTATTACATTTTGCCATTTAAAAGACATTATTGTCCTTTATCTCAAAACTCAGAATCAGCGCAAGTGCTTCATCTGTGACACCAGGAGCCCCTACAATCTCCACCACAATCCCAACAGCCACCGCGTAGAGAACATCATCACCACCTTCCAACCTGAACGCAAGATGAGCTGGTGGCAGTCCGAGAATGGTGCGTTCCTCAAACTACCTTCTTTGCATGAACTTAATTTAAGTACAATTCTGCTGGTACCCCGAATTTAGACTTCATTTTACTTCGTTTAAAAATTCCAGGTGTGCATGAAGTCAGCATTCAGTTGGATCTGGAATCAGTGTTTCAGTTTAGTCATCTGATATTGACGTTCAAGGTACATTCAATGCTTTCCATGTATCTCATTTAAAAACTTGAATTCATTGATATTTTATTTGATAATGTTTTTGATAACAAATGCTCTCAAACAGAGTTTTCGGCCTGCTGCCATGTTGGTCGAGAGGTCGAAAGACTTCGGGAGAACCTGGAAGGTTTTCCGTTACTTTGCGGAGGACTGTGCCAACTCTTTCACCGGTGTCTCTGAGGGGCTAGCAGACAGTATTGATGACCTTATCTGTGATAGTCGCTACTCTGGGGCAGAGCCGTCCACCGATGGAGAGGTATAGTCACAGAGCAATCCTGAATTAATCCAATCTCTTCAATTACTTGTTAACATACATATCAGGTTCAGTCTAACTTTGCTTTTCATCCAGGTGGTGTTGAAAGCCTTGGATCCCAGTTTTGACATCCATGATCCTTACGACCCTACTATACAAGGTTCATGTCTCGTTTGAAGATGTTTTGTTTCTTTTAGAAATATGACAGTAATAAAAATGTCAAGCCAGGATGATGCCTAAAGGCATGTCCAACAAGCAAAAGGCCTCGATATCTTAATGATGAGCTCATTGTGAGCTAGACACTTTGAAAAATTCACTGTAAAGAAAATTTACACTATTCAAACTTGTCATAACATAGTTTGTTCCACTGGTTCGCACCTGCGTTTCTTTTTCAGGACCCAAATCATAACTAATGCACTGATATTTAAATTTTGGCCGATATCAATAAGACAATAGATATTCATGTTACAGCCAATACTGAAAAATTTAAATATCTAATATCGATAACAATATATGGTATCAGTAAATTCTTAAACAACATAAGCAATACTTCTTATGGTCCTCAGAGCTGATCACCCTGACGAACCTGCGAGTAAACTTTACCCGTTTGATCACCCTGGGCGACACGCTGCTCACGCGACGGAGGAGGAACCCACAGGATAAGTACTATTATGCCCTCTATGAGATGGTGGTTCGGGGGAGCTGCTTCTGCAATGGCCACGCTAGTCAGTGCATTCCCGTGGATGGCACACGTGGAGATACCTTTAGTGAGCCTGGCATGGTGAGCATACTCCTGCTAAAAAGGAAAAGCACATATGAGACCTCCTCTTTCTCCTAGACAGCATTGAGATTAATTGGGAGATTAATGGAGACATTACATTTCTCCTGACCTCAGATAGTCTCCTAAGTATCTTCTTTACATTTTCAGAAGAGATCTTAATGTCTCACACTGTGCTCAGATTACCAAAGTCATGAAAAGTCTCAAGTACATTTGAAACAGTTCATTTCTGAGGAAGGACTTTTAAGTATAGTCCCATTCTTTGTTCTTTACACCATTTCTGAAAAATATGCATAAATGTATTTTTTCTTTATAGGGCAGTTAACAATAATTACTACCTGTCATGCTTTAGTGTAGTAGAACGGTTTTGCTCTGCTTTCGTAGGTACCTGTTTTTATTCTTAAATTACTAGCTTAGTTTAAAGAAATGATATATGCTTTAAAATGATTGTATGTTTTACAGTCTTTTGATATTTGCTTTTTTCTGTCTTTGCTCAAGGTACATGCTAAATGTGTTTGCCAACACAACACTGCAGGGTTCAACTGTGAGCGCTGTCAAGACTTCTACCATGACGCCCCCTGGAGGCCAGGTGGAAAAACAGACTCGGATGTTTGCAGAAGTAAGTGGCACTTAGCTAGACTATTGATAGTTTAAAACACAAAAGACAATTTAAGTGGCTGGAGGAACTCATTAAAACACTGGGAGTAACAATGAAAAGCCATATGCAACTTTTCCTTCAATGTTTCAGGGTGTAACTGCCATGGTCATTCAGAGAAGTGTCACTTTGACTTAGCATGCTATCTGGCCACTGGTGGGGTTAGTGGTGGTGTGTGTGATGACTGCAGGAACAACCGTGCTGGACCCCAGTGTGATCTGTGTGGGCCATATTACTACCAGGACCCTCAACGCTCTATGGACGACCCCAATGCCTGTATACGTGAGTGACCTGGTGAACAATAAAATCCTCTAGATGCACAAAGAAATTATTCTATTGTATGTTTTTCATTGTTGTCCTCTGAAATAATCATTCCATTCCGGTGGAAAGCGTACTTAGATGTTTACATTTATTCATTTAGCAGATGCTTTTATCCAAAGTGATTTACAAATGAGCAATCCAAGAAGCGATTCTTCATAAAGAGGCAAAAAACAAACTAAATAACTTTTCAGGATGCATTTAAGTCCTCCCAGAAGTGATGAGTTTTCAGCTGTCTCGTGAATATTGCCATGGACTTAGCATTCCGGATGAGGGTGGGAAGATCATTCCACCAGAAAGGGATTTTGTGCCTCTCTGCGATGGTACCACAAGGCGTCGCTTACTTACAGACCTTAAGTTTCTGGAGGGGATGCAGACTTGTAAGAGCTAGTGGAAGTAGGAGGGTACGGAGCCCATGGCTGATCTGTAAGCAAGCATTAATATCATGAAATTGATGCGAGCCGCAACTGGTAGGCAGTGCAGAGCGATAAAAAGAGGTGTGACATGGGCCCTTTTGGGCTCATTGAAGACCAGTCGAGCTGCTGCGTTCTGAATCATTTGTAGAGGCTTAATTGCACATGATGAAGTACAGCCAGAAAGACTATTGCAGTAGTCCAGACTAGAAATGACTATGGCCTGGACAAGAATTTGTACAGCATTCTCCATTAGGAAAGGCCTGATCTTTCTGATGTTTCCTATCCAGCTTGTGAATGTAATCCTGATGGCTCAGTGGACCGTGGTCTGTGTGATCCAGTGACTGGCCAGTGTGTGTGTAAACAGAATGTTGAAGGAGAGCGCTGTGACCGCTGCAAGTTTGGGTTCTACGGGTTCAGCCGGGACGACCCTAGTGGCTGTCAGTGTAAGTGTTCTTTCACCCACAGAATGGGACTCAACTGGCGCATTTCTTACTCAATAACGTCTTAAAATGAGTTTGAATAGCTAAGGCTTTTTGCATTTACCTACTTGCCTTTTTATCTGATCCTTATTCATTCATTTATACATGTCCAGTGTGTAGGTGTAATTTCATGGGAACTATACGCACTGGCAACCCTTGTGATCAAACAACTGGAACATGCATCTGCGAGCCATTTGCTTTCGGCCCACAGTGCGACCAGTGTCTGGTGAGCTGAACCTCTCCATTAGACCACAAGGATATAAACTTAAATAGTTATTAATGCTTGGAAATGTTGATATTCCGCTTTGTTGTCCAATTTTCCAGCCAGGTTATTGGGGTCTGGGAAACACAGTCTATGGCTGCTTACCCTGCGACTGTGACATTGGAGGGGCATTGAGAACCGAGTATGATACTACAGTTTCCTTTCTGAAACAAACCACAGATTAATTGTTTACAAGTCTGTATGTGCATATTCACACAGATGTTCCTCAGTGGATGGCCAGTGTGAATGCAGGCCTAACATGGTAGGCCCCAAATGCAGTGAGCCGGTCCTTGGATATTTCCTGGCCCCGCTTGATTTCTATATCTATGAGGCTGAACATGCAGCACCTCGGGTGAGAGACTGGGATGTGATTTTTGTACTAAATTATATTCTTAATCATTCATAAGAATGAAGAGACCCTCATGACTTAGGGTCATTTCCACTTCCGCTTCCACAGATGGCAATTTCTCCATTTATACAAGCCCCTCCATTGGTCTACCCCCTGGAACAGATACCTGTACGACCAACCAAGCTCCCTCTCTGCCCCTCTGCCCCAAAACCCTCCCCAACACCTTATGAAGAACCTGAACCCCCAACGGTGAAGCCGTCTCCGACCCGATTCAACCCCCATGTCACACTACCCATCTGTGAGCACTACTACAGACAGAGAGGTTATGACTTCAAGATCAGTAATGGCAGGGTTGTGGTGGTAAAGCGTGAGAAGCGGCGAACTCGAAGACGAAGACAAGGCCAGGTAAAGTTTGAACTGTCAGATAAACAATGTGTCCAAGTTATATTGTCACAAAATTTAATGTGATTGTCTTACTTCATCATTCCTGTGCAGAGGACAATCCCCTTTGAACCAGGCTCACCTCTTCAGGTCATCCTGCAACAGCGCACCCCAGATCAGCCCATCACTTGGACTGGACTGGGTTTTGTGCGAGTTCAGGATGGGGCTGGACTTAGATTTAATGTCAGCAATATACCAGCTACTCTTGACTACTATGTAGTTGTCCGCTATGAACCAGAGGTCAGCCAGTCTTTTCATTAAATATTTGAATGTCAGTGTTTGTTTGAAATGTTTTGGTCCATTTCACATTTATGTACTCAAAATGTTATCTTTGCAGTCCACCGATGATTGGACAGCTTTTGTGAACGTTGTATCTTTTGGATCAGGGGATAGACGTTGCCTGAATGACCCGTTTGATAAAATGTTTACTCTTCCAGCCTTTGGAAGGTGAGATTTTTGTATAGTGTATTTTGCATATATTTAACAGGTTTTTGTTGAGTACTAATTTAGTAAAGGAGATTGTTCACCCAAAAAGGAAAATTCTGGCATTGTTTACATATGTAATGCCCATGCTGTTCCAAACGTGTGATCTTCTTTTTCCTGCAGAATAGAAAAAAGACATTTTGTCCATACATTGAAAGTTAGTGGGGTCAAATGTTGTTTTGGACACCATTACCTTTCATTGTATGAACTATCATTTAAGAGCTCAGGCTCTTGAAAGTATTTTTCATGTCAAGTAAAATTATTACTAGATCTACTTCATCTAACTACATTTAACTCTTTACATACAGGACAGCCACACTGGATCTTCCAATATGCCTCAGTGATGGTAATAAATACCATGTGGACATTACTTTTAGAAAGAAGCCCAGTGCCGACCCTCAGATCAGCTCATACATCCTGATTGACTCTGTAAGATTTCAAACGATCAGACCTTGTTTTTGCAAGATCATTGGAAAAGATGACATTGAAAATTATCTACCTTTTGTTTAGTAAATTTATTTATCCTTATTCACGTTCCATAGATGGGCCTCATTCCCAAAGTGGACTCACTCCCAAACTTCTGCATACAGTCATATCTAGCTCAGTTTCAGCAATACCGTTGTATTGAGTTGGGTGCACAGGCAGGACAGCACACCCTTCCTGAAGTATGTGAGAAACTTATTGGAAGTATGTCAGCTTTCATTCACAATGGTGCAGTGTGTGAGTATCGTCTAAATTTACATCACAGATATACACACGCATTTAATTCCATGATGCATTGTTACCTTGTATTAACTATATGCATCTGTGTAAATCAACAGCTTGCAACTGTCATCATGTTGGAGCGTATGGCTCATCTTGCAGTAAATTCGGTGGACAGTGTCAATGCAAACCCAACGTTATTGGTCGGTGCTGTGATTCCTGTACTCCTCTGACATATGGGCATGGGCCAGGTGGCTGCTCACGTAAGCCACATTCTCATATTCAGAGATGACATGATATAAAAAAACATTTTCGAAACCATATGAAATATGAATACAAACAGAATGTTTTTAGAACATGGCACATGTTTCGTAAACTAGATTCTTTATCTTGGACATTCTTATTTGTCATTGACTCCTCTAGCATGTGACTGTGATCCGTCTGGCTCTACCGCTGAGCTTTGTGACCAGACAACTGGTCAATGCTCGTGTCGAGAAGGAGTAACTGCTCGTAGATGTGATAAATGTTACCCTGGCTACTACGGTTTTCCCCTGTGCAGACGTTGCCAATGCAACGGGTTGGCTGACATCTGTGACCTGGTCACTGGAGACTGTCTGGACTGCAGGGAACACTCCGCTGGACCCCACTGTGAAAGGCAAGAGAGGATTTGATATCATATTGTTTCATTTTCGGTGTTACACTACAATAAATGAATCCTTACAATTAAAAGGATAGTTCACCCAAAAATTTTAATTCGGTTGTTAATTACTCACCCTCATGTTGTTCCAAATCCATAAGACCTTCGTTCATCTTCAGAACACAAATTAAGATACTTTTGATGAAATCCGAGAGCTTTCTGACCCTGCATAGACAGCAACGCAACTGACACGTTCAAGGCCCAGAAAGGTAGTAAGGATATCGTTAAAATAGTCCACATGACATCAGTGGTTTAACCTTAATTTCATGAAGCTAAGAGAATACTTTTTGTGCATAAAGAAAACAAAAATACAGCAATAACCAACAGCAAAAGCAATTCAGCAGCAGAAGCGTAGCAGATTTATTCCACCAAGACTAAATAAATAAACAGTCAAATCCATTACCATGCTAAAATCTTCTGAGAGTTGTCATAATAGAAATATCTTAATTTGTGTTCTCAAGATGAATGAAGTTCTTATAGATTTGGAACGACATGTGGGTGAGTAATTAATGACAGAATTTTCGTTTTTGGGTGAACTATCCTTTTAAGATGCTAATGGTCATTTTCTGTTCCAGGTGTAAGGATGGTTATGTTGGTGACCCTGTTTCTGGGAAGCCATGTGAGCCATGCTTATGTCCAGATGTGAACGGAAGTGGGCGCTTCTTTGCCATTTCTTGCAACAAAGATCCATACTCTGGAGCTCCATACTGTGAATGTCTGCCTGGACATACAGGTCCTTGTTCACTCTTTCATACAAAGCATTTCCAAAACCATCAAAGAGTCTTCCAGTTACCTGTTTGATGTAACACACAGTGAGGGAAGTAAAGATACAACACTGTAAAATAAAAACACCTACATTTTACCTTACTCTTGTAGGCCTAAACTGTGACTCCTGCTCTCCTGGTTACTACGGTGATCTGAGGTTGCCCGGCGGCCAATGTGAGGAGTGTTGTTGCAACAATAACATTGATCCTCGTGACGGTGAAGCATGCGATGCTGTAACTGGCGAATGTTTGCGGTGCTTACACAACACAGAGGGGCCGCGCTGTCAGAGCTGCAAACGTGGATACTATGGCAATGCGCTCACTCAAGACTGCAAAGGTACAGGTTTAAAAGGATACATTGCTCTATTATTATTATAATTATTATACATTTTATTTATAGGCGCCTTTCATGGCACTCAAGGACACTTTAAAAAGTCCATAAAACAGGGTGAAACAATAACAACCAAAAATAACCATATTTCTCTGGTTTCCTATTTCTAATTACAAAACAATGACAGTGCAAATGATAAATATTTTAGGGGTTTTCACATCGGGTAGTTATAGGAACTAGCCACCAGGGCGGTCCCTTGAGAACTAAATTTTCCCCTAGGCCCATTTTCCTGCTTACATTCACACTGCCAGTAGTAACTCTGATGTGACATAAGCCAGCTGACAGCATTGTCATATATAACGACATTCAACAATATCAACAACTGTAGAATGAAGATGGCTTCGTCCATCTATTGCTCTTTTCCGTGTTAGTGGAGTTAGCTTGTTGAGAACGTGAGTAAACTGTGTTTACATGGCTTTTTATAGGGATGCACCGATACTGATACTGGTATCGGGCCCGATACTGAGCTCCTGTACTCGTACTCGTTAAAATGCCCCATACCAAACGCCGATACCACAGAGCATGTTATAAGTGCCATATTCAGACAAAGAAACACCAACAACAGACAGCAGAATGGAGTTATTAGAGATTAAAGATGTCTACGAAGTATATGTATGCAATGAATATAA